CATCGTCCACCTATAACTACAAAATATACATATACTTTTCTACCCGTCCTCCGTCCAAAAATTAATTTAATTTTTACTAAAATAACACTCGTAAATTAGGTGTTAAGATGGACTTCAGTCATTTCAGATATTTAAGAAACACAAAATCAACAGTTTTATTTCTTATATTTTCATTGAAAGGAATCAAAAAAATAGTATGAATTAAATTATCTGTGGTCCTGTTATACTATATACAGTAAAAACCGTTTAAAATGACACTGGTTGTAGTGACATATCACCCATGTGACCTTAGATTGAAGATCCCAGTCCTATATTGTATGTACCAATTTGTATCGATTTTTATGACATCTGCATAACGACTATATAGATGTAATGACGCTTATTTTTGGTTTTATTGGAAAAATATTTTATTAATCATGACTTAAATTTATCGAAAGAACTATTACAACTAATAATACCGCTAATTTCATCATCAGTTCATTTTAATTTTATCGTCAGTATAAGGGTAATCTTCGTGCAGTTAACTGTGTTTTGTGTTGGTGTGTAGAATATTGTGAAATTGTAAGATAAACAAAAGAAAATTTTTTTGTTCAAACACTTGAACAAAAGGTTAATGTCATTATTCGTTTAATAGACATAACTAAAGACACCATAACTACGCTTTAGGCGCAGGTCATTCTACAATTTCTAACATATGGAAAGCTCGAGACAAAATAAAACAAGAGTTTCAAGACAAAACATTATCAGTTAAGAAACTCGGAAATTATACACATACGGATTTAGACATTGATTTATTACTTTTTTTCTGTATGTATTAAAGTTCAAATTTTTTTTTCGTAATTTTGGTTATTATGGCAACCAGTTATTAAGACCCATTTTCCTTGGTCCCTTGGACGTTATTAAAAACGATTTTTTACTGTATAAGTATTTTCCATAAAGTAGATTCCAAAATATTAATTAGGAAAAATGGTTATTGACAGGAATACCGAATAATACATCAAAACAAAATATTATGTTCATTAATATACGATAGACATTCTAGAACATTTTATTAAAGTTGGTTATAGAATATTGTATGTTATCTAATTTGTTTACTCTGTTAAAAATTAATAGCAAATGGTCAGCCAACAGACTAAACGAATTACGATTTTGTGAATGACGGCTGATGCGAGGATATTTGATATGGCAGAAATATTCGTTTGTGTATTAATGGGGAAATATATTTCAGAGTTTAGTGGAGAAAATAGGGAGGACAGTTAACTACGCTGTGGCAGAGACAAAAAGAAAATAATTCATTGTAGATGAAAATAATATAAGCTGCTATAAGTAGTAAAATGATATATCTTTGGTGTTAAATCTTAAGTAGAAGTCAGTAAAAAAATACAATAATAATTCTAGGTAGGTATTTGCTAACTTATTAAAATTGAATATTCAATAAAATTGCAATACATCCAAAACTATCAAAAACATAATATTATTAAAAAAAAAAAAAATTATAATAATAATAATATTCACATTAATTTTTAGTTTCCTGAAAAATGTCGAACCAAAATCAAAACATTCACTTAATTAAAATAAAATGTATATTACTAATTTATTATTTTTTCTATTTACTATAAGTATTCTTATTCTGGATCTCATAGTTCAATAAAATTATTTAAATTACTAAAAAATTAATCAATTTACATATTATTTAAAAAAAAACATAAAATTGAAAAACCACTAAATATTGTAGTAAGTATCCTTAGTGCCTTAGTGACTAACCTACTGTGTTAAAATTATAAGATTCCAATAAATTTAATTAAATTGTTATGAATTTACAAACGTTATTTCAATCTTGAAGGTAAATGTCTACTAATTTCCTTGAAGGACCTTAATTTTTGTAGCACAAAATCTATTCAGTTTTGATTAATTTCTGTAGCTATTTATATCCTATTGGATTTCCTTAAAATATCAATTTTTCTACATATTGAATAGGTGAAAAGATTTTCAATTGGCCATGATTTCATGGTATACACATACGATATAACTAAATTTTTACTTTTTAGTGATTATTTTTATTGATTACATGAGTTTGATTCCCATTTTTCCGTTGCTTACTCCAATGTAAGCTGCCACTGCTATTGTCCTACGGGTTAAATATTTGTTTCCGGTTTTTTTTTTTTTTATAAATTGCACTAATCACACGTCATATTCACATCCTACATTATTATTATTTTATCGACAATATAAGTTGTTTTTAGAATCTGATCTCATGTTCACAACATAATAATAATATCTGATAAAAATATATAGGTATAGTTGTCTAAGTACCTAATATTATAATAATGAATTGGTAATATAATAAATGCAATATTTTCTACAGACAATATTACTAATAATAAAATTAAATATTATAATGGCTATGTAAATATAATATAATAAAGTATATTGTGGCTTGGGGTGGCTTGATGTATGTCTTCAGTCACTAATAAGTTATTTGTTGTTGTATTTAATTTATTGAACACTAATAATACTAACTGAATCAATACATATATCAAAACTTGTTACTGCTTATTGTAACAAAGGAAAATGGCTCATAAAAGTTGTAATTTTTGGCAGTTTTTGAAATTTCCGGGAATCCCTTCCCTAGATTGATCTTAAGAACTTCCGGGAGTGTCAACCTTAAGCTCTTTACAACTCTAACATTGTTCTTATTAATCCTAGGTATAGTTTATATGACGTCCTTTTTTTTAAAAAAAAAAAATACCTTTTTCATTTTTAGGGTTTTTCGATAGACAACAGTCAATAATCGTTAATCAAGTGACAATCTTATAAAAATGACCATAAACATAAGTCGTCGAGTCAATGCACTTAAATAGAGAGTAGAGAGTATGATGTAAATTTATTTAAGAAATTATCAAATTTTCGATACACAGCAAAAATAAGTTTGAGTCAAAAAATAATTAAATAAGTGATCACAAAATGCATTTATTTTTCTCAAGTGTTTTTATGACAATATCTTGAATTAAAAAATGTTTCACGTGGAAATCAGCTATTGCCTATTATTCATTTTTTTTCACAGCTGTACTTATAACCTAACCACTTTGTATATGAACGTCTACATCAACATTTGATTTAAAACAATTACATCTAATGACTATGTATGGTGAAATGGATTATATAAACTATAAAAGTATTATACGATACAACCGTAGGGATTCATGTTTTACAACACAACATGTTTTCCGATATAGGTAATACTTACTACTCGTTATGACTTATATAGTAGGTTATACCTTTAAACATTTGTAATACCTATAGCTTAGCGTATTTACTCTATAAACGTGAATTCACTTGAAATTAAAAATCGAGGAATACTGAAAAATGTATTTTTCATAATTTTGATGAGACTCAATATTTCATAACCAGTCCAAAACATAAAGCACATGTTATAAAAGAGTGTCTATTGAATACTTGAGAGCGTGGAATAGTTAATATTTATTAGTTGTTACTTCTTAAGTCGCATCAACGTTTTTAAACAATCTCTTTAAATGTAAATATTATAATTATATAATTTATGTTTTGCTTTGTGTCAAGACTAAGTTCCAATAGTTTCATATCACGTAGTGCACTACCGCACTAGTGTATATTAATGTTGTACATATTAGTTTTTCACTCGATATTAAAGCATAGGTATTTTAAGTCATAGGGAATAATGGGAAAATACCGGTCACCTCCAATGCATTCAAAATTATGTTGAGCACACAAAAAGGTCAGAAAGACTAATTTATTCTTATCAGACCGATATTATCAGAAACTGTTTCCACGTTCAAATGTGTACAATAATTAGTTCTTAGGGTTAATGTATTTAAAAAAAAATGTTTTCTCGTAATCTCAATTAAGATTAAAATATTTATGGTAAATTTCTTCTTTGTAGATGTACAAATAAAATAAAATATGAAGATTATGATTGTAAATTCAAATCATCTAACAGTAAGATTTATCGATTAAACAATATTTTCTTATTACTAGTCAATAGCTATTTATTGCTATATACGTGCTAGTCTGTGTTTCGATTATTGCTTTTAAAAAGACAAAAATTTTTGGATGTGGAGAATAAAAGTTTGAAGAAAATGAAGCGTGAAAAGCTTCACACGTATAGTTGTACGTTCAGAACTTATTGAATTAGACACCTACAGTATCGGAGGGAATGTAGAATTAGATGAAGTATAGTTTTATATGCGTGACCGCCACTAGCCAGTACTCCCAAGGGGTAGGGCCGTAAGGAAAATACTGGTCAATTGCATTTTAAATAAAAAAATAAAAATAAATATTTTTAGGTAATGTTTTGAAAATATGTTTATGCATCCATTTATTGTAAAGGCTAACATAACATTTAGAATTTTAGAACCTGAAATTTAACAATTCCCAATATCTCCTAATCATAACTTTTTCGCAGTTTTTACAAATTATCTTTGAGCTAGGTTTATTTCTAGTGGGTATAGGTGCAATAAAACCTAAAAGTGTTTCACGCCCAGAACAGGTCACTGGTTTTGTGATTGGTTGCAGACAGCTATGGTCACACGTGACGTTTAGATTTTAATTTTAAATACTTATAAACGCATCGATTATCAGATGAATGGTAGACCGCAGACGTGAGACTCACTCTCCTACACTAATAAATCATGAGTGTTGTATTGACAACTTTCAAAATTGATAAATTAATAATCTAATTTCGATGTTAAAAATGCATTTGTTCGACTAAAACCCGGTAGAGGAAATATTCAATTTTATATTAATTATAAACACTTATTTTATCGAACCCAATGTTTTCGGAAAAATACAAATACCTATGTATTTGTATTGTAAGTGACTGCAAAAATCTGCAGTAAAAAACGGCCAAAAATGCACCTAGAACATTATTGTAGGGGAAATATCTCATATACCTACCACTCGATCAACGATATGCTTTATCTATAATATTGGCGTCGGTGGACCGTTTTATTTATTTTTTTCAGCATAACGCTCAGCGGCCATGTCATTGCAGAATAACCTGTACGATGACGACGGCGGCGGTGGAGGCAAGAGTAGTCAGATGAATTTGACTGCGGGAAATGCGTGGGACAACGACTTCATTATGCCCAAACGGGACCCTCTGTTCATAGTCGTGCCCATGACCATCATGTACTCGGTGATATTTGTGACGGGTGTGATAGGCAACTCGATCACCTGCATGGTGATCGCCAAACACAAATACATGCACACAGCCACCAACTACTATTTGTTTAGTTTAGCAGTATCCGATCTCATACTGCTGGTGTCCGGGTTACCGCAGGAAATGTGGTCCATTTGGAACAGGTGAGTGATAACGACGCACAGAATTTAAAAATCAATACAAATCTACTGCATTAGATATAAAATATGTAAATCTAATATGAGTTTATGACATTATTAGATTTTTGTATGAGGTTATATACTTGTATAATATTATATTATACCAACGAGAAACTAATAAATACGTTTTTTTTTTTCATGCCATTGCCACATTATTACCTATTCAATATTGAATGGTGAATTTGTGATCAACTGTGTTGACTTTGAAATTGTTTCAGCTTTCAACTATTTAGCCTGCAGGTTATATACCTAACAGCCTAACCAGTCAACCTTTACATAGGTGTCGTAGGAACTTAACTATATATAATTATAGTTACTGAGTCTTAAACAACCGACGGTATTAAAAAACCTCTCATCCTACAGGTTTTGGCACAAACGAGGAGTGTACATAAATATATGGATAAAATATGTACGATATGTTGGTGGGTGGGTGTGGATGAGGACAGGGATATCCAGAATGCGATCTGATTAAATTTTTATGTGGAAAGTTCTTAATTTCTTTGTGAAAATAAATGATTGAGAATAAGTGTTGAAAAAAATCTCAAGTCTAAAATACATCTTAGGTAAATACGTTCATGGCTTATTGTTAAATTATAACCTTTTTTGTACCTCAATATCTTCCGGAGCAATCGATGTATATAACCTTTTTGAGCAGTATGATTTTTTTTTATTTTCACCTGCAATTTCTGGCGCAATTGACAATTGACGTATACTTTGGTGAGATATTTCAACTTCGATAATAATACTGAACACGATGAATGAAAAAAACGTACCATAATAGATAAAATGTATAGTTCCAAGTCATGTTTTCAATTTTCAACATTTTCAAAAATTGTTAAATATGACCTTTTTTCTCCGGACATTAAAGAACGGTCATCATTTTGGGAGTTTTGAGGACACTTCGTAATATGTTTAATATAGACAATATAGTATATTTACCTACTTATCGCTGCATCCAAATTGCATGTCAAAAAACAAAATGTCCAAACTGCATGCCGTCTCTTTGAGTTGTCTATTCGAATTGCACGTTGTGAATCACATATTTATTTGTGATAACATGCACTTATGTACACAACTTAAACATTTTTTTGGACTTTAATTCGTAATTTAAGATTTAAAATAAAACAATACTTTTCCAAATTTCTAATTTATTATTAATATTACTATTAAAAAATGCTATTACTATATATCATTATTCAAAAAAGATTTTCCAGTATTAATATTACTGTAATATATTCTATGCCCAAAATATCAAAAAAAAACCACCAAATATTAAAATATTATTATTTATTTGAAATAGGTACCATGTAAAAATGTAAAATAAAAATTGATCACCCTAAACTACAGTGGTGTTATTTAATATTTATAATTGACAGTGTCACCACCTACAATATTTAAACATTTTATGGTAATGTAAAAAAAGCCCGTTCCTTCAGTGGAAAAGTAAGTTATTTTGTTACTTTATTCGGACATATCCCTCCAAGAGACGGCATGCAATTAGGACATTCTAATTTATATTAATTTTTTTGGCATGCACTTTGGATGCACCGCTACTTATGCTTATGTCATGTTACTGACGGAAACCTGTCGAAAACTGCTTACCTCTATACCTTTTTGTTTTCCTTGTTATCCTGAACCGGGGGAAGAACTGGTGTTGGTATTCCTCTCCCCCGGTCAAGTGCACTTCCCCTATCGCTAGCTACCTCTATACTTATGCTGTTTATTATGATTTATGATAATATTATAGTCCGTGTTGCAGGCGATATTTATCTCAAATTCTATAACCAACTATGGACGTAGTTAGCTTTGGATAAAACGTAATGTTATTACAAATCTGCAGTCACTCAGATGGAAATTATCGGTTATCGCGTGTGTCGTGATTCTTCGAACGTGAATGATAGACCTTTTCATATGCGCTGCATACCACATAGAATTATGTGTATTACATTAACTACTCGGCTGTCTTTATATTATAAGCTGTGTAATGTATTTAAGCCTGAAATTTGTTATCAAAGACGTGTATATCTTTACAAAATATATATGAATGTAACATTCCTCGTGTATACTGACTGCATAATATATACCTGCAGATTAAGATTAGGTAAATTAAACAATATACTCTACATATTATTTGTACCCCTTTGATAATAAACTGTATGCCAAAACATTAACACGAAGACGTCCATCTGGTTAATATTATATTATTTTATACGTATCTGCAGTGGTGCAGTATACTGTATAATACTATAATAATTTTCGTACGATTCGTCACAAGCGAATAGACTTAACTGCGCATATATAGGCCTTATATGTAACACATCAAGTGGCTCAGTTTCAAGCGTAACCTCCAATAATAATATCATATTTCTCATTGACATAATTGTATTTAAAATGAAGCGATTGAGATGGATTACATATTGGTACACTAACATACTAACATACTAAGAAGGTACAGTTACATTGAAACAGGGACCAGGAAATCCCAGTTGAATAGGTATTGATATAGCGATAACCAAATTAAATATTTAATACATACGTAATATCATAGGAATCTAATCTATTGCATTTATATGTTCTACACCCTCACCGAAGACAATAATTTCATTCACAGAGGGGTAGGTAAATATTAGAAGTTCTCCCTTCACTGCTTTCATTATTTAACTACGCCTACCTATAATATTTACTCATTATACTCCAATACTCCATGGGTTCAGTTCGAGTTTAAAATTAGATTTTCTCTTAATTTTTTGAAAAGGAAAAATTGCAATTGTGACAAACTAAAAAATCGATTGCCCTTGGAAGAATATAATCGCGAGGACTGAGGAATTACGACATATTTTATTGTCTATGGCGATCGCGTGTAACCGTTGGACTATTATAGATGGGTCGATGGATGTCTACAGTTTATTTTTTTTCATAATTGTACTACAAGTTATAATGGTTGGTTTACAGTTTGATATTTTAAACAAGCGATACATCTGTAGTATGTTTCACATTGTTATCCATTTCCACATTTAAACAATAAACGCACTTTATCTGACGACAGTAAACTCTTTTGAAAATATTTAGACAGCGACTGTCGGAGAACCGAAACAAAATTAACATTCTGCACGAAATATAAACATAAATCAATAATATTGTTCAAGTGTCAGCTTACTCAGTATACACGGTTAACTTGAAATAACTCGTGTACAATAAACGCGTTGATAATGATTTACAGATATCCATACGTATTTGGCGAAATATTTTGTCAACTCCGGGGTCTGTTTGCCGAAATGTCTGCCAATGCTACTGTACTTACCATAACCGCGTTCACGGCCGAGCGGTACGTGGCTATTTGCCACCCATTCATGGCGCAGAGCATGTCAAAACTTTCCAGAGCCGTAAAACTTATCATCATCATATGGCTGGTCGCTGTATTATTTGCTATACCCCAGGTGAGTCCTATCTGAAACATAATACCAATTATAATATCAAAAGATAACTCTTAACAGTCTTAACACCGATTTTTATGAACGGGAGTACGATATTAAATCAAAAGACTGCAATATGGTCATAGTTATTCTTAAATTTACTATAGTAAAATATATGATGGATAAAAGTAAATTGTACCCAACTAATTGATAAAATTGTACTCCAATAGTTGGTTTTTGGTTTGGTTAAAATTAAATAATTAATTTAAAAGAGTAGTTACTGCTCTGATATTTATTATATTATTAGTTTTGTAGTCATGTAGATCACTGTATTAAATTTGAATTCAATGATATAATATCATAGTATACGAAAAAAGATTCTGAACGAAGACGGTCTGTCATCCTATTCCTATATACCTATTGCCATTGATTATAAACTCTATTATAAATAATATTCAATAATATTATAATAATAATTTTAATCAAGTTTATTTTATTATATTATTAGTTATTACTATTAAAGTAATTTATTTTACTATGATAAATTAGTGAAACAGTGGGTTGAATTAATTTTTATCGAAAACATTTAATTTAATATATTTTAAAAGTTTCAAGTATTGTGTAAATTTTACGAAAATAAAAACTAAAATGGTTATTCCCAGTTTAAATATCTAATTTTGGACTTTTGAATTAGGACTTAAAATATCTATTAAAAAAGACTGCGTTAATATAATTTTTAGATTTTTAGTCACAATATGAAATACTTATGAGGAACACTGTATTAAACATTCAATATTATTTGTTTGTAGCTAATAACTAATATGTATATCTTCAACTTTGAGGATGGTTTCTAATGGAAAATTGGATCTAGTTAGTAGGTACTAGGTACAAAACGATCATAAGGGGTAGAACCAATTGCAAACAATGTACAAGAAAATAATTAATATATACGAGGAAAAGATCAATGGCAATAATCTAAAATTACTCAATTTACAACTACAGTTTGAAAATGAGTTACGTGCTACTGTTGTGCCATACTATAGTGAATTTTCCTAAAGGTAGTATACAAAAAAATCTATGGATATTCTGTTAATACTGAACAGTAAAAATCTTAACTTAAAAAAAAAAAAGGTATTTCTTGTACTAAAAAATTAAAAACAATTTCCTTAAATGATTCCATATTATATGCTATTTTAGCATTTGTCGATCACAATAATAACTTTAGAAAAATATATTGGCGATGGTTCCAAGTCAGATTAACATGCGCGGCACAGTATCGTTAGGCGTTATGTGCGAGTTATTTTAGAAGCCGTTTGATTAATGATTTCGATCGACAGTTAACAATTAGCCGAAGTACCGCTGCTATGGTCGCGCAAAGGGATGAACTACAAGTTACAACGCTTGTGGAATTTATAAAATATAAATTCAAATTTATCTGGTCGAAATATGTCTTTTTTTTTTTTTTAGTGAATAAGTCATATTTTATCACTCTCTTTGTTATTTTGCAAAAATACCCTTCTCTAGTTAAGGTTGACAGTATCTTCTTTAGTATTTAGCATTATTACAACATTCACTATTGTTGTTGTGTTTGATATCTAATTATCTCAGATAATCTTTGTATACCCCTATTATTATAAGCCTACAAAGTTTGGAGAAAATCCCTTTAGGTTGATAATTAATTGTCGTCGGTATCTATTAGGTGGATCATTTCGACACACAGCTGGTTGTTTATCCATTTATACTATACATTTCTTCCACATAAAAACACAATGGATGGGTTAATTGTGTAGGTTGAATGTTGTTAATAGTTCTATCATTTGTCTAATATAACATTACGATCAAATCTACGAGCCGATTTAACGGGCACTATATATTATTTTATAATTGTACAGGTGTTTCGTTCGTAAATTCGTAAGATTTTATTTTATTTAATATAACATGTTTGTGTGTTGTAAAAAATAATATCGTGCAATGAAAATCGTTCCTACTATATTAAAAACAAGTATGAAAAACTACAACATTGTGTGCAAAAATAATATTTTGTTGTATGTTTTGAGTACCTATTTTGTTCGCTGATTTATATTAGCTCGTAACGAGTTTTATCATGAAATTATATATTTTATATAGGTACAAAGTACTTCAAACAAACTTATTTATTTCTATTTTAAACTGCACTATCAATCCCTATTTTAATTACTTAAAGTATACAATTTTTCTTAACCCAGAATGGAAAGATATTGGTTGGTAATTTTAAAATATATATTGTTGTTTTAAACAAATAACTTAACCTTTCAAAAATTATGTTTAACTGTCAAAAACATTTATTTTAGAATGATTGAATAAAATTAATCATGCCCACATTCTTATGTACTTGCTTGTCATTTATGACTCGTGACTAACATTTTACAACTACACAAAACATAATTTAAGCTACAGTCGTTATATATACACAATAATATTTTGAAAACTTTACGTAAAGGCTATATATTATAATTAAATTGCGTTATCATTGTGTTCAGTTTAAATTATTAGTATACATTTCTAAGTATGCGTGATTAAATTGATTTCACCGTTTTAATAATTTGTTTCTTCTATAACGATTTTCAATTTATAATAAACACAGAAATATTTTTACTTCAAGTAAAATCATATTTGGCCATTTTTACTAATTGGTTCAAGCAGACTACCTTATATTAGCTAAATTATGTATTAAACTATGTCACTAGAATAAGTGATAGAATACGTAATAAATTGTATATTTTTTTAGTACTTTAACTACTTAATATAATTTAATTTTAATTGTAATCACAATTTTGTAGATTGGCGCTCGGTTTCAGAAAATATTTTTCATATAGATGTTTTCTGGATTTAAAATATCTGAATTAAATTTGATCTATCTTTTAATAAAAATCCTAGATACTTCATCTACTAGATAAATTAGATAATCTGTGTTCTGATAATCTGACACATGTTTATCTTGTACCTATACGTGTTTTTTCACAAGACACAGAAATGGTATCGGAATACTAGGCTGCGTTAAACATTTTATACAAATTGAAAAACACAGATTTTCCGATTACATGTGTTAAATGTTCCATGGCAATACTGCAAGCTTTTCTATCGAAATCATTATTATTCAAAAGATTTTTAGCAACCGACATTTTCGGTTGTGATGAGTACACTTTTATTGAAAATACAAATATACAATAATACAAATGCAATCGAATCATCTGCTTTAATTTATGTAAAATAATTGACTTTATAGGAATCATTCACCTCATATTGATTTAAAAAGTGTTCACTTTTTTTAGTCAAGATATTTAATTAAGTTGTCAAGTTACGAAGTGTCGACAGTTTGACACCGGTTTTCAACTTACAAATAAAAATTTGGTTTTTTTTATTCATTAAAATACTGTTCATTTCTTGAAAATATTTATAAATTTATAATGTACCTAATCAATATTCTATAATGACCGAGTTCAACTGATGCTTGATTAGTATTAAGATAACAATCATCCTTATTGTCAATTTATACTTACTTTATTAGCTTCAAAACAAGGAGCCAAAAAACTTAGTTTAATTTTTATCCTTAGCTCGATGGAGGCTGAATTCAAAATAATTGTGTGATAGGCAAAAATAACAAGTCCGTTTATTCCTACTAAAATCCGTCGTAATATCAAATCCTCAGGCGTTGCAATTCACCGTCTCGTCGTGGAACGGTTCGTCAGAACTGATGCAGTGCAATATCCGGAGCATACTTCTGATGAACACAGGCATCGAACTGTCAACCGTGTCGTTCACGCTGTCCTCGCTGCTGTTTTTCTTGCTGCCAATGACACTGATAACCGTACTTTACGCACTCATCGGACTCCGTCTCCGGCGCTCCGATAAGCTGAAGCGAACCATCACAGTACGATCGACCCACGGCGAGAAAAAAATGTCGTCGCCCGAGTACAGGGCCAACTCGTCTCCGAAAGTCCTCAAAATGCTCGGTAAGTACTTGAGCATTTCTATATTATCATGGTATAATACCAGTACATACATATTTATAACGATATAGATTATAGGTAAACCTACCATTAATTTCGTGTCATAAACATAGGTATACATCATTAGGCATAAGTATATCCGGATGTGTAAAAAAAAAGTTAGCCTTTTAATAACTGTTTAATGTGTATGAGTATGTACGAAAGTACTTAGTATTTATTGTTGATATTTTTAATAACATTATCGCTATAAGAGTATAATATAATCCTTAGGGCTTAGACCATTGATTGTGCAATCTAAGTATTATATTATACTATAGGCACTTATGTCTTATAGCGATAATGTAATTACGAATATCATCAATGACTACTTTACTTTGACATTTACTACTAATACACATTAAGCGGTATGAATAACATAAAAAAAATCTGTGACAATTTTATTTTTGTATTAGGTCCGTGAAGTTAGCGGAAAAATGTGAGCAC